TATGTATGTATGTATGTATGTATGTTTTAATTGGTTTATAATTATTTTTTACATCGAAATCAAAGCACACTCATCCAATTCGCCTGCGATCAAAAACAGTTATAAGGAAATAAGCGTTTACCGTTTTTTTTTTTCAGAGTATTTCTAGCAAGGAATGAAACCGATTCAAAATAACGTTCCGGTTTGGGTTTCGGTTTTGCCAAGTGTTTCGGTTTCGGTTTTGGTTTCGTTCTTCAAAATTTATTTCGGTTTTGGTTTCGGTTTCGTTCCGGTTTCGGTTTTTCACAGAAATTTTGTTGATATTATTTAAATCACAATTTCTTAAAGGTTGAGGAAAGAAAATTGAAAATTACAGTTCACTGATAATATCAACACTAGGTTCTTTCCCTAACAATCCGGACCGGATTTGGTAATTAGAGAATAAGAGAAACATTTTTTTTTTTCAAAAATGGAACAAAGTCCAGAAGTACGGGAACGCAAAAACCACATTTCGTGCCCACAAGTCGAGAAACAGCTGATTCACGTTGTTCTTGTTTTTCACTTATACCATGTTCTGACCGACATCGGAAACATGTTTTCGTTGCTAAAACTGGTTTTCGACCTAAAACTTGTGTTTTCGTCCATGTAAAATCTGTCAAACGAAAACCAGTTTTCGCTGAAAACTACACAGATACACAGCAACAACGTCATCACCAGATTCACTTAAATGTTTCCTTTTTGCTGTAAAACTAAAGGTGTATGAAAACTAAAATATAATTGTTATTTTGGTTAAATAAATCATTTATTTCAAAGAAATTTTTGATTTATTATTTTTGTAAATTTCTGGAAACCGATTGAAACTTGTGATTGAAATGGTTTCGGTATCGTTCCTTTTCAGGTTAAGATAACGGTTACGGTTTCGGTTTCGGTTTTGAAAAACGAAACGGTTTTAAACGGTTACGGTTTCGGTTTGGGTTTCGGTTTCATTCCTTGATTTCTAGTACTGAGGTCACATAGCTGTGTTTGGTCACTTCTAAACCAAAAGATATATAAGAGAACGGTAAATGCATTAATGTGGGCAATAGATAGTGTTAATAAAATATACAATAAACAAAATTTACAAAAAAATCACATAACTGTTTTTGTTGGCGCAGCGACGATATGTACGTTCATGGGGCAGATACCACTGTCATTGAATTTTATTCAAACAAAAACTTATGAGGAGGAATGTAATTTACTAGCCGAATGACAATATTTAAGGGTACACATTTAAGGTACATTTTCAGGTATCTCCCAAAGGATAATTACAAATGCTTGAAAAAGCTAGATCGATAATTAAGAACTACACTAATGTACACACATACATACATACGTATAAAGAACCAACATACAATTGTATACTTGTCCAAACAATTTGAATGTGGACACTTACCTACATACACTTACGGTCAAAATAATAGATATTGTTTGCAACTTATGTTTATTTATTTATTTTTACATGTTACATACATACATATCTTATATTCAATGCCTGCACTTTTCACAAAAATGAGATTCTGATATAAAAAGTGGAGATCCAGCTTTACACAAAGTACACAAAAAATTAATCAAATTTAAAGAAATGGTCATCAAAATTTCAAACTGTTTATTTATTTTTTGAAAATGTGCAAGCATGCATTTTGTAGCTCATTCATTTAGACATCAACATTTGTTTTTGTATCGAAGAAAATGGGAAACAACCTCGACAAAAAATGCTCAACAAATTTTTAACGAATTGAAACTTGCACTTTATTATATGATATGTACTAAACTTGAACATTTTCTAAAGAGTATGAAATTTTACAATTTCTTGAAATTTGATAAAATTTTGTATAAGTTTTGCAATTTCTATTTGTGTGGTTTCTGTTATGGATGGAACTATATTAAAAAATAAATAAATAAACATAAGTTGCAAACAATATCATTCTGAATTTTGGTCGTATTATTTTGACCATAAGTGTACATACATATGCATTTATGACGCGCCAAGCTACATACATATGTACAATTTTTCACATCCATATAAAGGTAACAACACGCCATCTCAGTACATACATACATATGTACTTAATAAAATACCTGCTTTAATATCTTATTATGGCGCTTGACTAAAATTTCAAAGTAGTGCTGTGCTCGGAAAGAAACAGCAATTTTCAATAAATAAAAATGCATAACTTTATTTTCATTTACAAATAAGTTTAGTTCCATTAGCAAAAGTGGGAAATTAAAAATCAGACAGAGGCCTTCAATGTAGCTTCCTCCACATCCACGAGCAGTACTATCTTCGCTTCGACACAATTGAGCACGAAATCACCTTGAAAATAGTCACCGCTGGCATTGAATTTTTTTTTTTAAAACTCTTCCTTGACAACGAAAATGTTTTTGAGCAGAAACTTGCATTATGTAGATACATACATATATACGTATGTTTGTACGTGTTTTTTTTAAATTCATACTGACATTTGTTATTATTCGACCGCATAAAAAGTATAATAAACATAAATGTGGAAAATGAAGACAAATCAGGCGTATTCTAGTATTAAATATCAAGTCTCTTATACTTTTTAACTTTTTTTTGGAAATCCATAAAAGCTACCTCATATTATTGTTATTTGTGATAAAAAATGAGAAACGTGTTTTTTTATTTAAAAAAAAAAGTTTTTTAGAGGTCGCGCTGGTCGGTTTTTTATAAAAACGCTGATGTTCTAAATTTTTTTATTTTCTTGACATGTTAAAATGCAGTTAAAAATTTGTTTTTTATATATAATTATCTGGTATTATTGGGGAACATTCCCTTAATTACATACCTGTTTTGCGCAGTTAGAATGGGCCTAGTGCCCGAAAATATCCTCTCGAAAAGAGACTAGTAAAATTAAAACGTTGATACTGAACGATTTACGCATTGTCATGGGTTGGAACTTGTTACCAGGGGGTCTCTGGGGTTGCTAATTAGGTATCTGAAGTAATTTTTTCGAAATTCAAAATGGCGCATCCAAAATGGCGGTCCATTAAAAAAAAATTATTGGATTTGTTCGAAACCCGGCACTCGAGAGTTTTTGTGGTCGCCGATTACGAATCTGAAGACAATTTTTTTTTATTCAAAATGGCGGATCCAATATGGCGATGAAATAAAAAAAAAGTTCTAAAATTAAAACGTTGATACTGAACGTTTTAAACATTGTCAAGGGTTAAAACACGCTTCCAGTGGGTTTCTGGGGTTGCTGATTACGAATCTGATGTCAGATTTTCAAAATTCAAAATGGCGGTTAAGAGTTTCAAACAAATCCAATCATTTTTTTTAAGTTGGTCGCCATTTTGGATCTGATTTTTGAAATGAGCAATTCGAACTACGTATTTTAATATTTTTAGAGTCAGTGGTTGAATTTTTGTACTGAATGGGTTAAGAAAGCTTTATTTTAAAAGCGTGATATTAAATGCCCTTCACCATGAAACGGCAACAATTTTGAGTGGTTATTGCGTTTTAGACTACGACTAATAAAGCTCTTGAGCGGATATTGTGAAAGGTTGGACTATATCCACCTTAAAAATTACTGTTTTCTCACGTACCATATACCGTTTATGCTAGATGAATGTACAATTTAGAGATCTTCGAGTATTTTCAAAAAAACAATCAACTTTTTCAAAAGATAAGATTTTTAATGCAAGTTTCTTCGAAACTAGAATAACCCAGTCATGTCTTAACTGATTTTCAGGATATCTGGTCAAAACATGACTATCTACATACGTTTTGTGAAATGAATTTCCAGAGGTCCGTGTCGTAAACGGGCACAGATCTTCATTAAGATTCCTCTTTTTCTCGTAAGATAACATTGCTACATATTTGAAAACTCTTAACTAAACACTTAAACTTGAACAGTATAAATTTTGCTTACTGAAAGTCAGTTTTTATTAATAAGTACCTATTACTATCTACAAATTTAGATAAGCCACCGTTACAGTTGCATAAATACTACGTATAGTCATGTGAAAAATGATAGGCTCACGATATTTTGACCAGTTTCGGATATTATTCGTTTGTTTGTTTAAATTTATTTATTTTTTTTATAAAAATGCAGTTCAGAATCTAAGAACACTAAAATTGTCTGGAAAAAAATCTAAGCATGCAGTTTATAGCCCATTCAATTTTAGCTGAATAAAAAACAAGTTTCAATTGGCTAATAAATCGCATTGATTTTTGATAATTTTTTTCCTGACGGTGTCACGCATTTTCCTTTTTTTTTTTGTATTGAAGAAAATAGCACCATTCGCAAAACCAATTATCAAAAATTAACGCAAATTATATTATCATCATTATCAAAAACGCCCTATCTCAGCTGAAAATACATTGAAAATGTGCTGAGATGGGGCGCTTTTGAATCGGCAGCTGAAATAGGGCGTTCTTCAACAAAATTCTGAAATAGGGCGTTCCTGAAAACTTTTCTGAGATAGGGCGTTTTCGAACTGGCTGCCGAGACCCCAAAATCTTGATTTACCGATATAGATATATAATAGATATAGACAATTGTATGCAAAAGTTGAAAAAGGTGAAAAAAGTAAAAAAAAAAATGTGTTTGCTGGGTAAATACACACAGATCTCTTAACGTTTCTTTATTCACATATATATTGTTCGAAAGGCCAAAGTTTCTTCTTTTTAAACCCGAGAATAAACCGAAACTCGGTTCATAATGAACTAAGTCACAGGCTTATAAGTGCGCAAAAGTACGAAAACCCGGTTTTAGCGGTAAATCAAGATTTTAGGGATGTTAGGCAAATTTCATATTTCGATTCTGGTTTTAATCGAAAAGACCTACCAGAAAATATACATAACTTCCCAGGTATTTCTACTTTATGCTTTTTTGTAGCACTGCCATATAGCCATATAAATACATACATATGTATATTTACATACATACTTAAGGGAGTAGATATTTTATGTTCTAATGCTGTAGACGCAGATAGAAAAACATTACCAGGATACTGACCTTTTCAGACACAACTGCATCATTCCAATGTACTGAGAGCACCTTAATGTTCTATTATTTTGTTGGTATTCCTTTATACTTTCGAGTGTTTGTATACTGTTAGCTTTTGCTGTGAATGTATGTAGGTATTTAGTTTTCCACCATATTCGTTTACTGCGCGAATTTATCTTCGCCTATCTGGCTTCTGCGAAAGAGAATCACTACTGATGTTATGTACATATTATGTAGACGAAATATGGTTGCAGCGGTGTACTAAAGGCACCGGAAAGGTTAGTGAAGAAGTTCGTTGAGTTCTATTACGTTCCTTGAATGCTTTACGTAGATATTTTGCATTTCGATTCTTTTTCGGGTGCTGCTAACGCACACGCACAACCACTTGTATAAGTATATGTCTATATGTACATATATTATTTCTCGCGGGTTAAAGTGTTAGGAGGGCATACGAAGCCACCCTTCGTGGGCGGAAAATGAAATAAAGGAATCAGTAAAGGAGAACGATTTGAAATGTAAAGAAAATCTGGAATGCGAGCTCGTTTTATGTGAAACCGAGAAACTTTTGCGATAAAGCTCTCTCTACCACTATCACTATGTGTACACCGACACTCTTAGCTTTGGGAACTATGTATAAAAGGACATTTTTTCTGTGCTTATTGATCTTATTCCGTTCTTAGTGTTATTTCATTTACGCGTCTGCTATGTAATGAATTTCGTTGATTTTAACTGTTAGTCGGTTTCAACACATACATACATACATATGTACATACATACAAACCTTCTTCACTAGACATTTTTGCACACATTTTCTAAATCACAACAGCACACTTATTTCTCACTTTCGAAAAATAATTTAAACTGAAATATGTACATATGTTGTATAAAAAGGCGTTAGCATTATTTTGTCGCAATTCCCTGTTTACACTTCACACATATCCGGTCCGGTCCGATCCGGTTTGCCTTTAGCTATTGGCAGTTGGTACAAGTATTCGCCTTGTTTCAAGCACAGCGTTACTTCGTTTGGAATTTTTTGATTCCCTCACATTTATCGGTTAAAGCTTCCACACTGGATTTAGAAATTTTCTTTTTCAACGGGTTACTTTCTTTACATCCATTCATATGTACATACATATTTACATACATACGAACTTATGCTTCGTTGTCGGAAGGAGACACGAGCGTGCACTAGCACTAACACTGTTATCACTATTCTCTTTTACTTTTGCATGATTCCTTTATGGTAATTTGTATATGATTACTTTTTAGTTACTCTCTGTATAATATCATTCGTTGTTGAGGTTTTTGGTGCTATAGATTCATCAGAATCAACGAACATGCATACATACATATGGTGTTATTTTCGATGGGCGGCCCTCGAAGAATTTGGATGCCAAAGTGAAATTCTGTAAAAAATGAGAAAGAATATCATATTAAGATTAAATGTACATTACTAAAGCAGGATTTTCCGCTTTAGTCTTTAAACGAAAACTGCGATATTCATACATACATATGTATGTATGTATGTAAATATGTATGTATGTATGTATGTATGTATGAATAAAATGCTGTTGGCTATTACGGAGCGGATTGCGCTCATTTGGGTCATGCGAGATATGTCTTGCTGCAATTATCGAATGGCTATAAGCCACCTATGGTTCAATTTTGGTCGAAAAGAACGTTTGACAACATATCCAAATAGCAACAATTCCTAAAACAACAAAACAGTAGCAAGTAGCAGCAGCAATTTAAAATTACAACAAGCACTTTGGCCAATACACATTTAGAACAGCCGAGTTATGCCATAATAAATATGCTGTATTTGCCTTCTTTGCTTGATACATATGTGTTGGTTGAATAGCTCGCTATTGCTGGGCTTAGCCAATTGATTGGACTGCGACTCTGCAGTCTTCTGCAGTCACAACTAGATCTACAGCGACAGCGACAGCTACAACGACTTTGCCTGGTCCAGCACATCAGATTTGCTTCTGACGAGAGCGCATACTTTTGCTGCTAGCTATTGGCACAGCCATATGCCTTTGTCGATTTTTTTATTCTTCTCTTCTTTTCCATGCTGCTGCAATTGCCAGGTTTGTTGTTTTGGCACCAATTTTTTGCATTACGTATGTACGTACTTATGTACGTGTATTAACTGCGATACGATGTTGTCCAGTTGTTTGCTGCTGTCGTTTTGCTGTTCAGGATTTATCGTTATTGCCGTTGCTGCCTTTCCACCGCTCCGGCAGTTATTTGTATTGTTGCTGTTGTGCCTTACTGACGGAATCTGACCATCAGGGGAATTTTTATGTGTGGTTGAAAACCGGTTCTTACTTTTCTCTATGTGGTTGTTGTTGCTTTCGCCGTTGTGCTACTCTGGTCACTATTTTGTAGTTATAGTGATTTGCTGATTTGATTTGCAATATTTGATAATTATTTTGAACTTAAGCGAGTATGTACTACTTTTATGCCTCATTACATATATCCAAATATATATATGCATAGGTACATAAATATTATACATACATACATACATACTCAGTATATATGTACATACGATTTTTTCATTCACGGCTTGTACACATATTCAAGTTTTTAACTTTATCATTACCATTTTATTGTTTAGATAATTACGTTGATTTTTTGATGATTCTGCTGCTGCCTTTTTGCAGGAAATTAATTTCAAACGAAGCGAACATTTCAAAGCAGCATTTATCTCTCCCACATAAATCTATTATTCCCATATACAAGAACGGAAATGGTCTTAACGTCCGGTACAAAACCAGCTGCAACGATATCTGAAAACGAACTAAAATCGAAACATTCAAATCATATCCCATGAACTCCAAAAGCAGGTATTTGCTTACAAGTGTAAACTACACGAAGGTGGCATGTGCCGTCGCGAGAAAGAGCGAGTGTGTAAGAGTTGATAGCACAATGGAGTCCCCAATTCCATACAATTCAAAATTGTTCAGTGAGCAGCAATGAGTAATCTAGAGAACACAAGTTCATAACAAATATGTGCTGAATGGAGCTGTTTGGCTCAAATAGTGGGAACTATCAATTTGAACTGTTTGTACGGGTGGTTGTTGTCTAAGTGTTCTCTTAGGGAACAGTTTCCAAAGAATGATAAAAGAGCGGACAGTGACAGTGTGTTTTATATGTAAATAGCGAAGAAAGCTAACTTCTTTCAAGCAATTGGAAGTCTATGATACACCAACATACATACATATGTATGTATTGTATGCCCATATGTAATACATGCACAGGTACATATTTCTTAAACACTTTATGTTATGGCACCTCAAAAGCCTTGTTTGAGTCTTTGAAGCGTTATACGAACTGTAACCTGTATCTATAGTTCAAATCGAGTTTTATACATGTGTACATTCATATGTATGGTTGTCTCTTCCCTGTCGATGTATTTACTTACATAAAGTGAGTCTTCATTTTCCATTGAAGTCTTCTGATTCTCACCGAATTTTTGCTGAATTGTCTTATCGCAGGTGGGTGTTGTTGCTTTCCCATTCTTTTCCTGGGGTTTTCCATTACTTATTATCTTTTCTATTCTCAGGTTTTGTTTATCAATTTCTTACATAGTTGTTTCAATTCTAGAATGTTCCACAGTTATTTCCTATACTTTTTCAGTTGTCTCTTAACAGCCATTGGAATGTATGCCGTGTGGGCAGTTGTTATTTCTCAGCTTGTAACAAGATCCCGGTTTGAAATTAGTATGCTCTGATGGCGTCGCTTTTATGAAGTATAGCGTATTTAGGAGCTTACACATATTTCATATACACATGCGTACTTAAACATTTGTATGTTTGCACACCTTGTAGTAAAAATTTCTACTTCCGAACCAGTTTAATACCAGTTTGATTTGGAGTAGAACTCCACACCAGGTTTTTCAAGAGTTCGGCGCATTTCAAGTTTTGAGTGTGCCTCCAACTAAAGTAAGGTTGGACTCTTTCAGATCAAACATCTGTTTATTTAATGTTTATTGATTTTTGTATATGTACTTACATACTTACATAACCAGTCGGCAAAATGGGGAGCAGCGATAGCCCCGACATTCGAAGGCAGACGTGAAGGTGTGTTTCTAAGGCAACCAAAGTCAAATAAAATAACGAATTGCAGCAATCGCATCGGTGTATGTCTACTGCAAAGTGAAATTCAAACTCTTTCATTATTTTTTCATGTAAATTGTTCCCTTCTAAGGGAAGCTGAATAAGAAGGCATGGAAACCCTGGCCATTCCGTACGAAATGAACAGGAATAAAGAATCGAGTACAGAAGGCCTATCGCCTCAAAAGATCCGAAATAAGGGCGGCTCCCAGAAGGCCTCTTATTTTCTAATTTTGCCAACTGGCTACGTATTTACATACATTCATATGTATATATAAAACCAGATTTTAAGATTTGTGTAAAAATTCATAAAATTTTACTCATTTCCACCAAAGTTTCAATCCTGTTGATTTTTGACACATCAATTAATTTTAATTAATTTTCCACAAATTTTACTTTAGTTGTATTATTTAGTTTTTAAAATTTTATTACTATTTACATTTGCCAGCAGTGTAAGCTTCGAAAGAAAAGTTCATTTGGCACGCAGGTCTTCCTCAATTAATTTATTCCATAGGGCCTTTCTATATTAAGGTAACGATATGTTTCCTGCAGCGGAAAGTACTAGTCGGGAGTTCGGGAGTATACCGGTACCCCGCAAATCTACCACCCATGCTTTCTGCTGTCGCATTTAACATGAAGTTGTCCTAGGAGGCGACAATTGATTCCCGCTAAGTAACTTTGCCCTAGTATAGGGCCGGCGAACCTTTATACATACACGTGCCAATATTTCCAAAGAAATATTCAATGTAGCCATGGCGTGCCAAAAAGAAGTCATGACTTATCACCTTTCTTGGAGACATAAGTTGTCACTTAAATCGTGAAAAAATAAATAAAAATCAAACACGAATTAAGCGTCTCTTAAATGTCTCTGTGTACCTTGTTTGTAAGCACCAGCTTCTGCAGACTGCTAATATGTCTGGAATTGAATTTAAAGTTTCCAAAATTTTAGTATTAGCATTTTTGCTCATATGGGTCTTTCTAATTCGATTGATTCTAACTTTACCTTGTTTCTACTAAGTTTTAAGTCCATATTGAATTACACTGGATCTCAATCAGCTGCATTTCAAAATCTTCGATTTCCAAACAATCAAATTTAAACAAGTTCAGTTTATCAAATGAAGTCACATCAGGATACATAATAAATTTTATTGTTTCCGATAACTCCTTGAATTCAGAAAACGTCGATGAAAATTCGTCGATGAGAGAATTTATTACCAAAGAAAACCCTTCAGTGAATGTTGATTCGTCTGATTTTTCATCTAAATCCAAATATGATTTTACTTTTGGTAAGTTTGGCAAACATTTGTAATTTTAGGAAGCAATGGGGCATATTCATAGTCAAAATAAAGACGGTAGTAAAGTTAGTTGCAGCTTTTTGACATACATAATTATCAATGTAATATCTGCCAAAAAAGCTGCTACTAAATTTAGAGTCGACTTTATTTTGACTATGAATATGCCTCAATATCTTTAACAATAACTTTCAGTTTAGCCTAAAACCTGCGAATAAGATCCATGCATCATAATTATAACAGTCTTATTAGAGCCTTGAAGCTTTACGTTCAAATCATTGAAATGTTGGCAAATATCCGTAAAACCCACCAATTTTGCAAGCCGTATAAGCCTCAAACCTTTGTTTATAGAATGCATGCGAAGAAATGAGGTTCAATATTTGTGAGAGCCATTATATCACCAAGAGAGGCGAATCCATGCTTTGCGCACAAAGCTTATTGATGAATGAGGCAATAGAACTCAATAATCGAATGTCTTATGTGGATTTTGTTGGTTGGCATTTTTGGCTCTTCTACCTTTTTTCTTTGGTGTGAGTAGAGCTTGCTTTGATTTCCAATTTAAACGAAAAAAAATAATAAATTGTGTTAACTAGTAGGTTGTAAATTCTACTTCTACAGGGTGTTTTTTTTTATACATGTGGTTTTCAAGAGGAAATAAAACGCATATAGTTTACTGTTATGGCCAAGAATTAAGCTTTATTTTAAAGATAAGGGTATGCCATTATGTTCTAAAAATGATTTCAAGCAAGTGACCGCTGCGGCTGGCTCGAATAAATTCCAGCCGAGAGGCCCAATTTTCGAGCGCTTTTTGCAGCAATTGTGGCCGTATGTCAGCAAGAACGCGCCGAATATTCTCTTCCAAGGCGTCAATCGTCTGGGGCTTATCTGTGTTGACTAGCGACCTCACATAACGCCACAAAAAATAGTCCAGCGGTGTTAAATCGCACGATCTTGGAGGCCAAGCCACAGGCCCACGACACGAGATAATGCGCTCACCAAAAGTTTCCTTTAACAAATTGATTATTTCGTTGGCTGTATGGCATGTAGCGCTGTCTTGTTGGAACCAACGGTCGTCCACATCAACATCCTCTAATTCAAGCACGAAAAAGTCATATAGCGTTCCCCATTGACTGTAACATTATCGCCGGCTTCATTTTTGAAGAAATATGGACCAATGATTTACTCTGGCCATAGAGCACACCAAACAGTGAATTTTTGATGATTTAACGACGTCTCAACAATGGCTTGTGGATTATCATTACTCCAAATGTGAACTTCATCGCTGAACAAAATTTTCTTGTGAAGATCGGGATCGGTGGCCATCTTGTATTGGGCCCTTTCACCGAACGTGTGACGCGCTTTATGGTCGTTCGGCTTCAATTCTTGCATGAGTTAGATTTTGTAAGCCCGCAAACCAAGATCCTTCCGCAAAATCTTCCATAAAGTGGATGGGCACAGCTCCAAATTGTTGCGCGCGATGGCGGATGGGCTCATTCGGGTCTTCTTCGGTACTTTGCTCCGCAGCAGCAATAGCGTCTTCGGTGCGCACTGTACGGCATCTCATGGTTGCTCGAATTACCGACTCTGCTGGGCGATTATGTCGACCGAATATTGGACGCAGAACGCGAGGCGTCGCGCGAATCGAACCATTATTTTGGTAATAAATTTGCACGTTTTCAAACGTTGTTCCGGAGTAAGTCTGTTCATTATAAAATGGCAAACCAAACTGAGTATAAATCAAGTAACAGCTGTCAAAAAGACCCACTCCGAAAAATGCACTAGTACTTGTAGTAGTAACACGTAGCCGAACCACGGCTTGTATCTCGCTGCGTAACCTAATACTAGTAATAATAAAGACTTCCATAACCAAACATATTTACGTGCGTTTGATGAAATCCTTGCTAATTACTTGCCAAAGGAAAGTATAATGGCACGTCATGGTTGGTCAGTGGCGGGACAACTCATCTGTCAAGAGCGACACATATAAATAGTATTCTGGGCTATCGCTGATTCCGTCGTAGACCGAATTTTCGTAAAATCTACGAAAATGCGATCACTGAATCCCAATTGCTACGAACGTATGCATTTAAAGTGTATGCTTCGTTCGTAGCTGTTCTGCGTTTTCGTAGATCTTACGAAAATTCGGACTACGATGGAATCAGCGGTAGCCCAGATTACCTTTCTCACACATAAAAAACTTTACATAAACACGATGTGGACGTGCACTTTGATATTTATATATTTATATTTATATTGTTATTATTTCAGAAATTTTTGTTATTGGTTCTTAACGTAATAAGGCAGCGCAAAGTATACGAAAATATTTATGCATTTACTGCAAAATATGCTGAAATATGCTTTTATTGCAAAATATGCTAAAATATGCTCTAAGAAATATAA